CAACAACAAATCATTCGAATTCTTCCCAGTGTGTTTATTCAAGATGAAGTTGCTCTAAAGCCCTTACTTTCCTCTGGGTACATCTTGTATACTGCATCCTGACCATAACAGGCATTGGGTACTCTTAGCAGATTCAGTTATGCATATTGCCTCTGTGCAAGGACCAATTCATTAGTGTCCTAGATCATTACCACTTCACCAATCAATTAGCTGTCCCCAGTGGTGACACATAGGAACGAAGAGTTTTCAGGGCCGGTAGTGCAAGATTAGAGTGTGCACCTAGTGACGTGGGCTCATTTAAGCACCCATGCTGGATTCATCACAAACAGTTACTGAAGTAGATCGGGAAGAAGGGGTGTCCTTTCAATGAGAGTCGCTCCTCGCATTCACATTAGCCCGGCTTCACATGTTCAGTTTTTCAGTTCTTTGCTTCGCCTTCCTGACCGACCGGTTGGGATTGACGGGGTCTGTTTGCACTTGCCAGAAGCGCAATTAACCCAATACCAGTGTTGGACACATGATACAAGAATGCTGGTACATGTGTGTCATACAATGTAGCCATGAAATACAGCACTGTATTACCATCACCGCTAGCTGGGATGTGCATCAAACCTGATCGCTGTATATCAGCAAAGCCGCAATACGTGGTCGAAGAAACTATTCACCTGCTCACCCGTCATCGGCAGCATGACAGGAACTAGGTTGAGGTGCTGACGGAAAAAGTGAACTCCAACTCACCGACTCAGTCTTGGTAGTGGTGTCCTCCTCGGCCCTGGCGATTGGAGGCGTCGCGGCTGCCTCGGACGGAACAAGACTTCCCGTGCTGGATCGCTTACTGCCTTCTGGTGATTTCCGGCCGTCAATGCTACGCAGTTTCTTAGCCTTGGCTCGCATGTCTTTGGCAAACGGCGTGGGATGGCGCTGCAGCTTCACCTGATTCTGAACATCAGATGTTATTGGATACAGTCATAGCATTAGCGTGCTCGTGAGCACCACACAAGCATCAAGTGAGCATTATGTGAGCATCAAAGGAGCACCATGTGAGCATCAAATGAGCATGAGGGTGGGGGTTCTTGTGCAGTGGTGGGCAATGAGCAAGTCAACTGGTTATTCTAGTGCAAGGCAGTCACATAGGACTATCAGCGTATCAGTAACCATGGTGATATGTCCTCCCTCATCAGTTACCATGGGCATGAATTCGCCGGTCAGCACTCCGCATTTCCTCTCCGTGAATCTCTGAACTCTTTTAGCGCTTCATTTGTTCATTTTTAGGAAAGCGTTGGCAAAGCTAATCAAATGTTGCCCTGCAGTTTACATCAGCCATTCAGAGAGAAATTCATCAGTGAAGAATTACACTCCATACCATGAGTACATGAGGCTGTACTATGTACTTTTGTCATCTGTTCTTCAAACCTTTGGTGGTACGTATGCAAGGTTAGTATTATTATCAATGATGCTGTCTGATGAGTGATTATTAGCGCAAAACACTGAGCAGCAGCAGAAAAGAGACTTGGTTTTGCCATTGGTTGTTGTGTGGTTGTTGTATTTCTAGCTATGTCTACCGGACGTTGAGCACTCGACGCAGTCTAAGGATACTTGGACACATGTGCATGTACTGTAGCGGACATGGAAATCCAGTCGATTGACCGGGGCCGGCGCCCTCAGCGCGTACAGAACGCTGCGTGCAGTGCACATGTTGATCCGAGGCGACCAGCGCCCTGGAGCGCCTATGTGTGTACCGCTTATCCACGGCTGCATGGCCAGCGCTCTGGGGCCGCTAGACGTGCGACCGGATTTCCATGTCCAGAACAGTACTTCTGTCAGTAGTTCACCACTGGCCATTTCCATCAGCACTATTACCGGTATCACATTTTCGTTCGGCGTGTGAGCAGCGACGAAAAACCCTACCTCGGACTCGGTTTCTCCCGTGCGTTCCAGGGTTTCCGGGGCAAAGGCAACACGCGTATTCCTATCGTGAGAGCTGCCAGTGACCTGGCTGGCTCGTGACGTGGCATCGGGATCCATCAGTGATGAACCAGCCGTGCCCACTTGCAATAGATTCTCTGAAAAGCAAAGAGCAATCAGCAAAGAGCAATCAGCAAAGAACAATCAGCAAAGAGCAAAGACGTAGACTGTATCCATGTGAAGTTCATCCACCGCCCGTAGAGGGCTCAATTTGCCGAAAGCAAAGAGAGGAATACTCAGACAGAAGAACAAGCAGGTGTTTCGTTTGTTTGTTTAATTTTTTGACAATTCTGTTCATGTAGTAGATCCTCTCACTTCTCAGTAAAGCGTGGGCATTCAGGGCATTCAGGGCATTCAGGGACTGTGCATTTATATCTTGTGTTAGGTACGCGCCGGCTGGCACACAGCCGTACGTACACGCCATGAAAAAAGGACCGGTCTACAAGGACTAGGGTCCTGCTGCGTGTCATAGGGCGACCTCTGTCATTCTGTGAAGTCTTGACATCCTGATCATTAAACTGAAGAGTCCAAGTGGTGTGTAGCTGCATATATAGAAACCCAGTCTTCTTAGCAGGTGGTGTTTGTAGCAAACTGTTTCCGTGGAGGTTGGAGCATGGCCTGTGTGTCTGTAACCACTGGTCTTGAAACACAACAGCCACACGGCAGTAGCGAAGAGACTTGGTTGTGCTGATTCTGTGTGCCGGCCGTACTGCTAGCTCTGCACTCTGAGCACTATACGCAGCCTGCGGATCTTGGACACCTGTCTAACCTAAGGATACATAGACACCGGTCTCTAGACACGGGTGCACCGGCCAGTGTGTATTGCACTGGCCATTGGACACGCAGAGGTCTTGTTGCCACTGTTGCTGGTCTTGTTTTTGTTGCTGCTCTTGTTGTTGTTGTTGTTAAAAAAAATTGAATTCTTTATTCTCACGATGGCACCATTGCCAATAAGAGTTGTTGCTGCTGCTCTTCTTCTTGTTCTTGTTCTTGTTATTATATTTTACTTCACCAGAATAACAGGCAGGGGAATGCCTTCTCACTAGACCTGGTCAAGTTCTCACAAATGATGAAGAATGGGAATGAACGCGCTGAGCTAACAATTCCAACTAAAAGAAAAAAATCGAATCCCTTACCAAGGCTCTGTGACTGGCCGATAGCCTGTGGCAGCAGGACACATGTCAGAAGTGCTTCCTTGGTGACTGGGTCGCTATCCTCCTGAAGATCTATCAGTGGCTTGGACTGCAGGTGGCACACAGTGACAAGCACAACCAGCACATGCATACATTCTGGCTCAGCTACTGATATA